ATGACCCTGGAAATATTACGTCATTGACCCGACATCTCCACGGCAGGTTCATTACACAGACAGACATCGTTGCATATTTCTTTGCACTGCTATATTATATATGGTCAGACAGAAATCCATAATATTCCATTGAAATATGGCTAACAAATGATGTATTCCACTCGCGTTTTACCTTAAGGCCTGTCACTTTCACGTTTTAATGCCTCGAATCTGTATTGCAATAGCTATGGCACATGAATAGGCTACAGAGTAATGCGAGGTCGTTATATAAGTTACTGGTAAATGCATATATTACTAGTTGCGTGTATCGCATACATCATAAGCATATAATTTAGCATTTCTTGACGTAATAATAACACACAAATCAGTATCACAAAATTCAACATCGACAGACAACATTTAAATCAAACCTTGCTATTTTCGGGGACAGTTTTGTAAATACAAGTGAGCTGCCATATAATTATATGCAAGCACATGGATAAAATTATATGTCGAGTGAAATTTGCTTTCTTAACTTGTATCCTCCAATATGCCGAATCGACATCTTAGGAAACATGACGAGGGTGGATATGTGAGAGGTTGCCACGACAACGAAAGGGTAATGAGGGATCTGTTCAATCACCTGTCTAACCCTTGGCGTATGATTCAGTTATAGTGGAGTGGTATTGATTTCTAATCAGAGTTAATCTAGTTGTGAATGAAAATAGGAATGGCGTATCCGGTTGGTCATCAAGTGTCTTACAATTAAAAACGTATTGGGCAAATAAATATAAAATAAATAAAAGAACGACACTGTCGACAAAATATAGTATTGACGTGCTTTTCAGTCTGAAAATGATATTACAGTGAAAACAAGTACTGCTCTTAACAGACGACAGATACATGTCTGATTTCATTTGTGTTTTGTCATTAGTTTATAATGGCTGCTTATGTCGACGAATGTACGTATAATGTAACAATGTGTGATGTCATAGTATTTGTCGTTTAATTTGTCAATTGTTATTTTGATTCAGTGCTCTCTCTTCAACAATTGGAATTTACTATAATATTAACAACTTAGCGTCAATCATACATTAATGTAGTAATGTAGATTTCAATTATAATTTAATATTTGAATCCAAACCATCATACAGCTAGATTGTGTAGTACTTAACAATACTGAATAAAGTGAAGATCAGTTACCTGCTCAACAATTGATTCGTAACACATGATATGTTGCTATGATACGGCGACATAATAACAAAAAACAAAACAATTGAATGATTAAAACTAACCACCAATTGGCAATGTCCGTAGTTAGACTGAACTCTTCCATTGTATGTACCGCTTAATGCGCACACGCATCCAACGGTGACTTCAAACGATAGCGGGCGAATAATGACTAAGCCACATTAAATGACTTTTAGTTTCTATCCATGGTATAATTAATCTTAATCAGGCATGTACGCTTAATTTACTTTTAACCACTATTTGTTGATGTATTACGTTTGCAGGTTGCCATTATAAAACTAGCGATTGCAAAAATCGATTCAATAATTTCGCTGCTAAACATTTAACCAGGAAGTGCCTGCAATACCCAGTCATATGATAGATGATTACAAGTTGATTGCTGCCATTAACCTGAACACTAGTGCAGAACGACTCCCTAAACATTCGGAGTCTGTAAGGAATATTGCGTCATTTCAAATCATCGATCTGAAAATATTGCTTCATATTCCAGAATGTATAAACATATAGCACAGTCCACAAAATAAATTGGCTAACAAATCCGCGCACATAGCCCGGGGTAATGACGTATTTAACCTCCTCAACAAATTGAAAGATATTATTGGTGGCGCCTGGCAGGTATCCGGCATTGCTGATTAGTGTGACAATACCTACCTCATGGTAGCAGCAGAAACACTTTTTTTAAACACGCGATGTTTTTGTCAAAATTGTCAATTAAGAATGCTATGACATCTGGCGATTCCTTTTTCCGGTTTCGAAATGACAAAAAATAGAAACTATAACCGAGTGTCTATTAAATAATATTTCAAAATAAAAGCTGAAAATTTATTTTGCTTGTCTGTTTGTACTATTGAAATTGTTGTAAAGCGTACTTCTGTGTCTAATATCGGGTTACACAACTGGCGAATACGGGACTCAAATATGCAGACATCATGTAAGTCGATCACAGGGGTGTTGTGGATTATCTTGATTAAATTAAGCTTAGCTAGTGAGCATTATCAGATCAATAGAACAAGGCTTTTCGGGCTGTGACGCTTGTGCAGTCAAATATCCGATGAGTTACAATGAGAAAGGGTCAATTCTACCATTTGTCATAATAGCTGATACTATCGATCTTTCCTTTTTCTTTTTAATAAAACATTACCTCTGTCATAAGTGCAAATTGTTAATATTGACACTTAATCATATTCGCTAGACTGACGTTGTACATTAAATCATTTGCAAGTGAAAAAAGATGGCTGCGGAATTGCGTTCAGGTTTCCAGGGGGCGCCATCTATTGAAACCTAGTTTTGTCATGGGAACCACAGGGATTATTGTACAGAATGACAACTTACCAGGGGCCCGGCGTGAAATGTCAAATATATCGTCAGCTTGCGAGGCTAAGTTTTTCGGCCTCTATCTGGTGATTTTATGCATCAATTCCCATAATTTCGTCCGGTTTCCAGCACGTGATCGATCTAAACAAAAATGGCGACTACTCGACTTTCGTTTTTGACTTCGCATTTCATTTGCAATAGGCTTTGTGTAGGGTCACGTTGTTTATGCAATTGTGTCAAAAACAAATTTTTGGTAAGATTTGGTCATTTTAATGTAGTTATATTTAAACAAAACATATTAAAAATCACAGCCACTGCTATACTATAATAGTAGAATATTCACAGTCATATTTAAGATAAGTGTGTACTTATTGGTCAGAAATAACATAGAGACTATAAAACTATAAAAATCGTAAACGCTCTCATTAAGGCAAATAGGAATTCCCATCACAGAAATACAGGCATTATCCTTGTCTGAGCACTAAAACAACTTTATACTGTAAATACTAGAGTCAAATTTAATGCAATCGGTAAAATGTATTTTTCTTAAAAGATATCATGTTATCAATGCGTATACTTTATTTTGGTAAAAAACTAACGAGTCAAATGGTGATTTATTGGCAGCGATAATTGTTAAATTCGAAAAGTGACTGGAGAACGTGCCGATGACGTACGCGTTAACCGCGATAAATCACACCAATGTTTACGCTGTAAAATAGTATGTCGAATCAAAGGTCATATGTCAAATATCAAATTAGCGTGCAATGGAGGAAAAGCGCTGCAGCGTTGCGTATAATCATGTATTACCACCAGATACACGTGGATTTACTGCTTTGACTAAGCTTATCTCTGATTTTTACAGATGTCATTACACTGTATACCACAAACTGCCTGAATAGGCTTTCACGTTGCGTAGAACGTAGAGTAAATCAGTTTTATTACCGTGCAAGGCATTACGACCCGCTTGCACAGCCGGGGATCATACTTTCACAATGGACGAACTCTTCAATATGTCGCCGGGTGTTTTAGGTGTAACTGATACGATGAGGTAAACGGAGTACCGGCAAAATGTATACGTTAATGAACGTTTTTTAACAGCAAGCAGCTGCTATTGAGCGAATAACCCCCAAAAATAGTAGTTTTGGGGCGTGTCGAAATCAATGACGTTATCGTACGCCAAATGATTAGTTTACATATTTAAAATTACAGATATAACATAGAGACAGCTGTGCATAAAAACACAATTGGTTTAGAAGTTGTATGAATCTGACAGTGAATATAGCTGAGTAAGCTAATTATAAAATAGAAGTGACCTTGCTGAGATGGAATGATAGTGTCCTCCTCCCACCATATTCTAGTTCCTTAGTAGTTATTCTTCTAATACATAAACAAAAATGATATGACAAGGTAAATAACTCTTTCTGAGTAAACTACGTGGGGGATATTTATTCCCATCCAAAATACATCTGTCAACGTTTCCTTTAACTAGATTTACGGTCGTTATAAATGTCATCGTTGGAACCTATTCGTATCTTTGATATTATTAAGGGATAAATACAAAACGTGGTATTCCAGGGAGGTTATATAGCCTTAACGCTACTGATAATCCAAACATATGTGTGTAGACATGCAGGAACAACTAGCAGTTTGCAGTATTAGTGAAACAAGTATTGTATTCATGACATCAGGACTTGTTCCCTGTGACATTAGACAAACTACAACTAGCCATCAATCACAGTGGTGTTATCGGAGTAGTGCATATGGCGTAAAATTACATTATTTACAGTCAGCAAAAAATACCTCGTTTTAATACCAGCGATAATGTCAGCAAAGCACTCGATTTAATTACATGATTCCTATAACGCAACTGCGGATGACACCTCGCTCAGCTTAGTGTCAACTGTATTATCGTGTCAAAGTTATACTCAATAAATATCCCTGATTAAAAAAACCGTAACAACGTTCGTCGGTTGAATTAAAAAGGTAACATATATTTTTTTTTTTAAATATTTACGTATAACCTACGACTGAATTCCCACCACGTCTACAATTAGACGTAGCTATGCTATTAGAATACTATTGACTCTTGTGTTACGTCGTTCAGACACTGCTAATTTACCTCAAGGGTCAGATAATGCTTGTCGCCGCCGAATCTGGATGATTTGTTTTCTGTTACGTCATTCAAGTTAAATCTCCATATGACTGCTTCGGAGGTAATGAACACGACGCGAAATCGCGCATCGTAATTTAACAATTTCTGATGAGAAGGACAACAAATAATCACAACACAACATCGCATTATATGCATAGTAGATACCGATTTCGTACTGCCATTAGACTCATATAAATTACAACAGTGCTGAGAAAAAAGAATTCAATGTGAATGCGTGCTAACATTGAGCCGCATTAACCGTGCGTAAGTGAGTATAGTGCTCAAGTGAACAAACTCGACTCACCGTTTCCAGCAATCAGTCTATCAAAAGCTATTGAAACCAACATCACCGACAGCCAAATCATCTCCCTGGCTATTCGTACTTCCATGACTGGAACGATCTTGTCAAAATGAGACAAAAACCGGTCGTTAATGTGAGCGACTCATCTCTCGCCATGAATCCGACGACAGCGCTCTACCGTCAGGCAGCCGATGTTAGTCAAAGATATGGTTCGTTCATGTCAACCTTTGACCCCGTCCTGTTGAGAAACAAACGCAAGCATGTAAACTAGTGTGTCTACTATCTCTGACGTGAACGACTGCCACGAACTGTTGTCGTTACATTTACTGATCTTCGTATTCTAATATAAAACACGGTAATCAATCGAGAAACAAAAACCGACTATAAATAACCACCAATATCATCTGCCTAAAACATTTTCATAAGAAATAACCTAATTTCAATAATTGAATTTGACATAACAATAGATCCATCTGATTTATTTAATTACGATTACGTCACATTAATCAAACTAATGGGGAGGGTTAGAATAGAACAACATAATAAACTGTGACAACTGCCAGGAAAACTAACATTATGTTAATTTCACTAACACCATTAATCTAGAAAAACACATTTCATTAGAAGATCTGAATAATCACTGCACGACATGTTGTTCTATTCACCAGTGTTTATAATTGCATTGCCGACGGACTGCGACGTGAGAACATTCGCTTACTGCTGTCTGAAATATACGGCGACTGTTGTTCAAACATGAGTTCAATAATGACTGTTTTACACGGAAAAATGTTACTACAGTGGGGTGGAATTAGTATTGCGTCGTACTGTGTCTTAACGAAAGGAATGTATATTTATATAAACTTCCCATACACTAGTGTTAATTGGATTGCAATTTAAATAATCATTGTAACAGATACTAACATATAACGAACGCTTATCATCTGTGCTAGAGTATTTAATTTCCCTTCGCAGTTCAAGTCTGTATTTTTAATATTTTCCCACTACTCTTTATTCGTGCAGCAAAGAATGTCCCATCATGCTCTTATATGCTGACTGGTTTCAGTAAAATGCGATATAGAGGCGCTATATACGTTTTAATCTCACCTGCTGAACGATAACGTTGAATATATGAATATTAACACGTGTATACTTAACCTCAATATAACCTGGAAGTAAATGTGTTTGTGAATTCAGGAGCGCCCATTCATTCATTTCAGTACCACGTGACTTGGCGCTGTCATTTACATTGTCAATGCCATATGATTTCCACATTTGTAGACAACTCTAGACTGAGTAAATCGCGCGGGAACTAAGTCGAGCAATAACATTGAGTAATTATTACATAATTTATGTTCCGTAACATGACAGATTCAAATTACCCGTTGCATCGAGTATATTTCAGTGGATTTAAAAATAAACAGCTCACTGCTTAGTGTAGCGGTTAGATTTCCCGACGGTTTATGTAGTTTCACAGGATATGGTGAATGCAAGATGGCGATGTACCGCATACCAAACGAACGTTTGCATTTGTGATTGTAATATCAATCACACACGGTACATTAATACAATTTTATTAGGCCTGGTCCATATCTTGTCAACGCCATGACGTTGCAGTTGTGTTCTGGGCTGCAGATTAGTTGAACGTATTATATGTTTAGAGAATATACTTGTCTTTCCAGCAATCGCTTTTCTCACTTCTATCGGTTTATACCATACACCACTAGCCATGACGTGTTCTTTACATTACTGGCGGCGATCATCGGAACACTATAGCAAGGCTTGTTGAAATTAACGAGGCTCTATTTGCGGCGTGCAAGACATAAGCAGCCTGCTGTAGTCTATATTTCCTAAATAACTCAACTTTATTCAGTGTGTCCACGTGATGGCAACCAATGGCAAATGTAATCGACAGCGAATTACATTTGAGATAATATGTGGAGATAATATATATTGACAATTGTTTTATATTTTCACAGAACAGAAATCCTATTATTTATCTATGTATATTAATTTCATATCAGTCATATAATGCGAATAATAACCAGCACAAGATTATACTGTGGCTGATAAGTTATGTATTCGGGTCAATAACAATTATTCTACTATGATAGTCACATGGAGCCATAGTTATTATATTAATATATTACAAGCATTACACACATTTATGTAAAATAACAATATGAAGATTTATTATAGTGATGTGTCAAATGTATGATCACGCATTATATAATATTAGTTGATTTGATTCACGTAATGTAACACAGGAACCGAACTGTTGCTGCTGGTGCACACGCTCGTCTTCGAGCAACGGTATGAACATTAGTCATGTTTCATCGTGAATTTAATCGTTGAAAGCAATAACTATAGCATTACGTCACTGAGTAAAGCATTCTTTTAATTATTAGTACGTACCTAAAATACCACGTGTATGTACATTTGTAGTGTTAAACTTATTATAAATGTATCATTAAATTAATACTATTCATTTCTTGAATACAGAGGATATAAATATTTTATCTAATATATGGTGTATATTTAGAGATGTTGATTACGTAACATTTCAATCCAAATCCTGATATTCTGTATCAAAAAATTTCATCCACTTTGAAGATACTATTATCAATTACTGAACGTGTTTTACTTTATATTTGAGATTCTTTGATTCGATTGTTTCGATGATAAAAAAAAAATATTGAATAATAAAATTGAAGGACGCACACCATGAGCACATTATACAATGGAACAGTTTGTACGTTGCTGGCTGGCACGTGATCGGAACCACAGTATGGAAACAACTGATATAAAGAAAGAGTTGCCTTTTATTTGATATATGATTAGTACTTAATAAGATGCGATTAAATGTCTATGCAAAGATTACGCAATTCCGTTACGTCACAGTGTTCAGAGACGTGACTGGTAGAAGGACAATGACATATTGTCTTCAACAACTATTCGCATTACATTTCAGTTTATGTTTCTTCAGGCATACATTATGTTTATGCCATTAATAAATAGATCACTGAGCAGACCTGCAATTGCAGGCCATTGCGTGTGTTTGAAGTCAAATAGAACGGTCTTTGAAGCACACTTCGCATTTGAGCAGCTCTTCGTGATTGTCGGCTAATTTCGTCATTCAGAGCTCGAGTGGGCAATTCAAAAGAATCCTTTTGAAAAGTTCAACTCTGATGTTTACAAATAAAGATACAATGAACTGTAAAATCGATGGCAATAATATTCACAACAAACAGTACATTATATTATAATGGATTTAAACTGTGCGACGGCACACTTCAATAATTGAAATGTAAATACAAACCCTTGTTTGACTTCACTGCTTTCACCAAGCAACAATCAATGGAAGCGAGTGTACTTTCTGCTCAAATCGACCTAGATATACTCCGTTGAAATAGAGGTACTTTCGGTTAAAAAAAAAATCAACATGTGGTAAATACACAAATTATTACAAATTAATTGTGTTGTGGATTCCGATGGAAATAGTCGGAAATAACTTATTGAAGAAGAAACGGAAGACGAGTTTTATTCACTAGCACAGTACACACACTGTCGCGTTGTATGTGTTGAGTACAGCGGAAGTCAGCTTCTCTATAACACGAATCACGGAGTTTTAGACCTTTATAGACATGAATTGTAATTACTAGTGATTGAACACCTAAAAAAGTTCAGTCTGATAAATATATAATACCAAGGTAATCGTAACTATGACGTAGGACTCCAATTATTATGATGTTTACTGCTTTTCTCATATACAAATTATCACCATGGGAATTTTCTTAGCCATAAACTAAGTAGTATCGCTGAATGCCGCGATACTGAATGATAACATAGGACACTGGTCATGAATTATCGTGTAGCACGTATTATAGCCCCAGCTTTCTCAGCTTGAACAAATCGCGTATTTCATTTCATATTATTAGTTGCTCCACGATGCCATTGTATGTAGGTCCATTGAATGTGTCGGTTACGTTGTTTTATTGAATTCATATGCGGGATGAATCCCATTTTGAAAAGTTCGGCGTAAGATGGGTATGTGTCAGGTGATCAAGCATATTAGCGAATAGCGTCGTCGTGTGTGTTTGTACAACTCCTTTCACAAATATTATTGTATTAGCCTGTTTCGCTACACTTATTTGTATATGCAGATGCGAGACTACATATACACCAAGAAATGCTTTTTTCAAAATAACTTTGGTTGGTGCACTTTATTAAATTAGATATGAGATTTAATATGAAATATTTTTTGAGTGCGATTTGGGTGAAAACCACATGGTTTTGAAATATCAGACGAAGACTGCAGCTGAATACATGGAGCAGTAAATGTTGTATGTACCTGTGTGGCTAGTTCAAATTCATCTTCAGGACATTTTATTACGCCATATATACTATTTGATTGTAAAACTAAA